CTTTTTAATTTGCTCATAGAGTTTACTGTCAGGCATCCTGGTAAGTTGGGGTTTATATTGTTGCATTAACTGGGGAACTTGCTATCTAAGCTTTTTTGGAACCTTATTAGTTTTGGAATTAGGAAAGGTGTATGTACATTACCTCCTTGGATTTTGGCATCATTTTGATTACATAGAGGCTGTTGTTTACTTTCCAGTTTGCAGCTGGGTTTCAGATAAGTGGCTGGCAGATAAGTGAGGTGACATCCTCAGTCTCCAAAGGCCTTTTTTGTTCTCTGACTCTATGTGCTTACAGATTATACAAAGAAAGTTACATATTAGTTCATTGGTGCCAGTTTATTAAATATTGCTAATTACTTTCAGGTGACCTAATGATTTTTATTTATTAAGACTCATAATTTTTATTTAAAGATCATTTTATATATATATACACACACACACACATTTTTTATTTTTTTTCCCCAGCACCTGATCATTGACTATATTTTAACTATCTGATATTTAAGCTTATCTAAGCCAAAAGATTTTTGCACATTTAGTTTGTTTTTTTTTGTTTGTTTGTTTTTTTGTTTGTTTTTGAGACAGAGTCTTACCCTGTCGCCCCTTCAAGCCTGGAGTACAGTGGCATGGTCTCGACTCACCACAACCGCTGCCTCCCAGGCTCAAGCAATTCTCCTGCCTTAGCCTCCCAAGTAGCTTGGATTACAGGCATGTGCCACTGCTGCCCAGCTAATTTTTGTATTTTTCATAGAGACAGGTTTTCACCATGTTGGCCAGGCTGGCTTTGAATTCCTTTCCTTCAAATGATCCACCTACCTCAGCCTTCCAAGTGGTGGGATTACAGGCATGATCCACTGCACTCAGCCCAGTTTCTAATAGAAAATTTGTTCCATATTTTCCAACTAGTCTTTCTAATAAGTCGAACTTATGTTCAAATATTTCAGTGCAAAATTGAACCTAATAGCCTGTGGCACTCCCTATTTAAAATAGCTCTTGTTCTTATTTCTTGATCCCTTGGTTAATTTAGCATTGCAAAAGTGTTACCAAGTAGCTTCTCTAATAAGTGTTTATTTTGGGCCAGGCACAGTGGCTCCTGACTGTAATCCCAGCACTTTGGGAGGCCAAGGCTGGAGAATCACGTGATCCCAGGAGTTCAAGAACAGCCTGGGCAACATAGTGAGACCTCCTGTCTACTTTTAGGTCAGGAGTTTGAGACCAACCTGGCCAACATGGAGAAACCCCGTCTCTACTAAAAATACAAAAATTAGCTGGGCAGTAGTGGCACACGCCTGTAATCCTAGCTTCTCGGGAGGCTGAGGCACAAGAATCACTTGAACCCCGGAAGCGGAGGTTGCAGTGAGTCAACATTCTACACTCCATCCTGGGTGACAGTGTGAGACTTTTTAAAAAAAAAACTTGAAGAAAATATCATATACCATTTAATTTTTTCCTTTTTTGTCTTTTTTTTTTTTTTT